ATTTGAGACTCGCCGAACGGCATTGAATTCACAGATAAAAAAGATGTGGGTTCAACTTTCATTTTGGAACAATTTTTCAAGCAAGGGAAGGGAATGATCTGAGCATGCAGGAGGACTGACCCATCATAAACCTTTGTGGGCTGTGCTGAAGAGAAAGCTACAGAACCACATTATTTAATTCATTAGCTGCACGTTCTCCTGTCCTCTGTCCTCTAGGCCACACAAACACACACACACACACACACACACACACACACACACACACACACACACACACACACACACACACACGGGACTGTCTCAGCTGTTATTTTCGTTAAGGAGTGTGCATGTACAGCATGCGCGCCTCGTGCACGAGCCTACTATTGAAGCTGCCATTACACATTTGGCCTGAGGGGGCAATCACGAGCATAAAAATTCAAAACTCCGTAAAGTCCCTTTAACATTATTTTAAATAAAATGTTATTTTTTATATTTATTTGGAAGATATGCAGGTATTATTGTTGTGACTAACATGAAGTCATGTCAGATCCTTGGGTGGTCCTTCAGCTTGACTCAGGATGATTTCAGGACAGTATACAAAACAAATGTAGATGAAAGTGTTTCTGATGACCTCTGAAGGTGGTCCTTAGTGCATCCTGAGAGCTGTTGTAAATATATTTGGTGCTGTGCAAATTTAGCAGCGATGGTGGTGCAAGGTGTGATTAGGGCTTTAGTGTTAATCTCACCAGAAGCTGGGGCTGGGAGACACCTGTGGGGAGGAGGGGAGAGGGGATTTGAGGTGCAGATGGTTCCTACAGAAGAAGTCCAGTTACCTTCATTCAAACCCCTTTGGAAAACAGATGGCTATTTGGTCAATCTGTAGTGTTCCCTTGTTCTATTGAGATCTTTTGGCTTTTCCACTATAGCCAGGCGGTCACCATTTAGTCCCATCTTCTGCATCTTCCACCTTCATACCATCTAACTTCATGTCCTATTTCCCTGCATCCACGAATCTCTCTTTTTGGTCTTCCTCTCAGCCTCCTGCCTGGATGGCTCCATGTCAGACAATCAATAATGTTGTCAAATGACACTTTTCACTGTTGCGGTTCTGCTTCAATCCAATACATCTCCCTTGTTTTAAAAAATTCGCAGCAGAAAACATTCCACCATTCCTCAGGCATCTTCTCACACGCCAAGATCTTGTTGAACAACCTAGTGAAAAACTCCACGGCCACCTCCGCTAGACAACTCCAGATCTCCACCAGGACCAACTGCCTTTCTCCTCTTTATTCTTCCAAAATCAAAGCTTTCCTCACTTTATTCTTACTAATCTTAGCTACTTCCTGAAACACAACAGTCATATTCTCTCTTCTACATTTGCTCTCATTTTCCGTATTCATCAGTTCTTCAAAGTACTTCTCCCATCTTCTCAAGATTTACTGTGGGATGCAAAAGTTTGGGTAATCTTCAATTCTCTTTCCTGTATAAATCGTTGGTTGTTACGATAGAAACATTTCAGTTAAATATATCATTTAGGAGACACACACAATGATATTTGAGAAGTTTATAGGATTTACAGAAAGTCAGCAATAATTAAATAATAATTCCAATACAGTTCAGTTCATTATGCCAGTCAGTTATAAGGAACCCAGCACCGTACCCTGCTACACTTCCTTTCCTTGTCTTTCTCTCTGCCTTGCCAACCTGTAAAAGTCATTCTCTCCCTTCTTATTGTCCAATTGAGGACACAGGTCCACACACACCTTTTGTTTGGCCTTTGCCACATCTATCTTCACCATATGCTGACGATAACCCCTACTCTGTACTCTCTCCATCAACACTATGGTAGAACGTTCGAACCCTTCTCCTAGGCCTGCTCCTGCTCACTGTAATCTCCAAACTGCCTGCTTCCACAAATCTATGTTCTGTCCCGGAGGACCAGTGGAATCACCATCCCATCACAAGACTCTTCTCCCCCACCAAGCTGTTTCACATATGCTAACGTTTCACATAAACATTTTTATATTGTTTCTTCTTGTGTTGTCTAACTTCTCTTTTTTGAAAATGCAACTATTTCCAACACCTGAACTGAATTTCAGGCTTTTCTTCCCAGTTTAATAAAACATCGGTTGGACTGGATTCTTCTAAACTAATGGCAGCGTCTTTAACACCAAAACTCCCAGAATTCTTACTTCACTAGAACTCCCAGTAACTGTCAGTGTGAAGGCTGTCATTTTGGCCATTAAATGAAGGCCGACGATGACATTGTGGAGTAAAACCGTTCAAGTGCGTTATTAATTAAGTCTTTATGGATGTATGAACCTAATAATATGGTAAGAAAATAGCATTTTAATCCAAACCTTGGAAAGTAGTCTCTCTATTGTTCACGACACGACTCCTTCCCGTGGGTGGGGGCGAGGGTTTGGAGATCGTCTTCCATGTTGCTGTCACTCTCTGTCGCTTCCTACTGACCAGTTTTCATCAGCTTCCCCCTCTCCGCCTGAAGCAGCTTCATTCCTCATGCTTGTTTCACTGAGAATGTTCTTCTAAAGTCGTTTTAGAAGCGAATTCACACGGAGTTTGAATGGAGAGTGAGCGCGCACGAGCTGGAAAGTTGGTTGCGCTTAGCAACGGTGATGCTGTCCATCATCCGTGGGCAAACTTTACCATGTAAATAACAGAACTGTCAGATTGACGGCTTGTGGGAGACAAAATCAAGAACAACTTTATTTCTTTTTTGATACAATATTTTATGGAAATTATAACACAAAAATAAAGGACACACAAAAATAGGAAATGTCAGGAAGCCAGGACACCATAGTTATCATCTAAATGTGAGATAAGTCAAAATGACTGCCTTGGGAGTTGTAGTGTTAAAACACAGAAAACCATTTATGAAATGTTTATTTTGGTAGACAACAGAGTTGGTGTGGAGGTCATGGTGTGTGGTAGATTCTCTGAATATGCTGGGGAAGTCTCAATTGTAGTTTTTAACTTGGTCATGTCCGCTGTATGTTCTCTGTGTAATCAGCTTAGACTGGACTGGCTCTGGCTGTGGGTCTGTTTATCAAATCAGGCTTTTTGTGCTTTTCAATATCATAAAGGTGTGAATCTTCACTTGTCTCCCAATTCTATTTAATTACGATTATTGGGTCAACAATTCAATTCGATTCAGTATCACGATGCATCACGATTATTTCATATTGATTTGTTTTCATCGATAAATAGAAGATGTCAGATAATTGCTTTTTATTTATTTTTTTTAACTAAAACATAATTGACACAAGCTGCCATCCCTCAAAAGCTCTCCATCCACAACAGGTTAGGACAAAACATTTAAACATTTAAGAAGATTTAACAAAGTAAAACATGTGTTTCCTGGTTCAACACCACGCCTCAGGCTGAGAAAACACGCTTTGCAAAAACTCACTAAATCTAAAAAAGTACTGAAACCCTACAGGACACATCATGTAATAATAAAATACATAATGGGTTCATATATGAGTGTTTAATGTCTCTGAGCAGCTCTAGAGTCAGATATTTATGCTGCAGCTGAAGGGTGTCAGAAATAACACCAAATGAAATGTTTGACTTATTTTATTTCATTTGAACCCAGCGGTTCGTTTCTGACATGTTGGAGAATGAATCAAGTTCTGTTTGATGCAGAAAATAATAAAACATAAAACAAATTCTACACTCCAATAATATTTAAGATGTGTGTTTTATTCTTTCTGATAATAACACCAGCAGAAGGCTGTGGGCTGGATTAGGATTAAATTACCCAGCTGATGGATCTCCTTCACTAACCAGCTAACTACCAACCTTTCCACTAACCTGTCCTGTGGGACCCTCACCATGTGACCCTCATGTCCATGCTGTCTCTGGAGGAGCAGATAGGAGACGAGACCTCCTGTAACCTAAAATGAACCAAAGCTTCCTCCCAGTTTCTCTTTAAGCTGAATTTAACATCAGTTTATCTTCATGACACAAAAGAATAAAGTGGAACAAGAACTTCTATCTTCTATTTCTCTCTCCTTTTAACTTCTCCGTCTCCCTAAATAAAAGAGACAGACGATTACGCTGCAGCCGCCGTCACTGACCCCGCCCCCTCCCCAAGACCGGATCTCCCGACATCACAACACTCGGTCTGACTGAGCGCTTCCAGGAGAAATAATAATTAAATTATGAAAATAATAATGCGTGTTTGGAGCATCGGTTTGGAGGAGCGTCCTCTGATCTCTCTCTCTCTCTCATTTGCTGATAGAGCGAGCGGAGGGCGCCACGTGACAACCCGCTCAATTAACATAATTCACGGCCCAAATCCAACAGAACCGGTCGGGCTGATTCGGTTCTGGTTCAGTCTCAGGTTACAACTCCAGCGTTCAGCCCTGCAGAACCACATTAAGGTGGAGGTAAATGTGGAGGACGCTCACACTGACATATTTGGATGCTGCGCTGGTGCCGCCGTTAAAAACAAAGCTACATTCCACTATAATCGATTATGGCGTACTCTTCTACGATGCAGAATCGTTTATGTCCGCATCCTGATGCATCTATTATTTGATTATTTTCCTCAGCTCTACTCATTCATCACATAATGCTTCTTATCACAACCCAGCTCCAACCCTGATGATTCTCTGTTGGCGTAAAGGTGATGGCTGGGTTCTTGTCTTGCTTTCACTCTTACTTCTTTCTTGGGCTGTAACTGAAGTAAGAACCATTCTTACTCTTGTTAGAGCACAGAATGAACTGATTTTCTTTGCAAGTCTCCATATAAACTCTACTCAACCTTTCCTGTTCCTTTCCACCCACGGCTCAGCCCACTTTGTTCTGTTACACATGTTAATACATGCGTGTTTTGTTGTCCTCATCATCCCTGCCCCGTTGCAGAAATAAATTTCAATCTAAATGTTTTGTTTAAAGTTGGTCCACCTCTCACACTTCTGTCATCTGCTCCACATTTCCCCTTTATTTCCTCCTCTGTTGTCTTCCTCTGCTCCTCATCCTCTTCTTCACAGGTGGTGAGTCAGCGATTCCCACAGAACAGTATAGGTGCTGTGGGTAGTGCCATGTTCCTGCGCTTCGTTAACCCAGCCATCGTGTCTCCCTACGAGGCTGGCATCCTGGACAAGAAGCCTCACCCCAGAATAGAGCGTGGCCTGAAACTCATGTCCAAGGTAAGTTTTGTTTAAGCTCTAGTGAAGCTCGTGTCTATGAACCTGTCATCAGACAATCTACAGCTTGTGATTTTCAAGAAGTTTCTTTATTGGTAAGTTTAGAAGAGAAGCAGGTTGGTCGGCAAGTTCGGAAAGTGTTAGCAAACGTCGGTAATGTCTAACGTGTTTTTGTAAACGCGGCAGCTGGCCACGACTGTGTAATCCCGCTCATTTCTGAAGGTCTCTGTTTACATGGCATGCGGTATTTTCCCTCTTTATGTCTCTTTTGAATTTTATTTGTATTAAAAGCCATTTTATTACCTCAGGTCTGTCCTACAACATGTCTAAAGAGCTACTTCTGAACCCTAGTCTTTAGTGTCCTAATACTGCTTTCTGTGTTAAAATGTTGTGTCTACAACTCAAACTGATTTCATGATTCATGGTGAAAATAAAGCATGAAATGTCTGAGACAGGTGGTGAACTATTCGTCCAACTGATGTTCGGTACTCCTGACCTTACAGCAGTAGTAATACAACCCGCCGTAATCCTTGGTTCTCAAGAGGGGAAAGCTGAGGATCAGTGACTAACGCTGCAAAATTCTTGTACTTTGAAGAAAAACTCTTCCTCGTGTTGAGGCTGATTGTGGAAATCTTGGGAGTCAAACCACCCAACTTTTAACACTGAGTTGAATTCTTTTTAGATTCTGCAGAGTATTGCAAACCACGTCCTTTTTACAAAAGAAGAGCACATGAGACCGTTTAATGACTTTGTAAAGAGCAACTTTGACTCAGCGAGGAGGTAAGTGTTCTTCCTGACCACTCCAACTTTGCCTTCACACTACTCTGCAATATTCTACCTGGTAACCTGGCCACTTTAGTACTGTGGATTCAAATATTTAGCATCACATATAAAGTTTACCTTGGTTCAGTTTTAAGTATTGAACTGCCCTCTGAGTTTATTTTGGCCAGTTGTGCAAATGAGAACAAAGATGTTGTGAAAGCTACACGTAGTTTTTATGGTTATAAGGTGGGAAAATCTTGACTGGTATGAAGATGTGAGGAAGAATTACCTGAAGACTCCATGTTTTGTTTTTTTGCTTATTCTTTAATAACCGTTAGTCTGTTTTTGTGGAAATATTGGTGAGTTCCTCAGAACCACTGATGACTCCTTATACATGAACAAAATGAACTTAAAAGCTGAACCTGTTCCTTGTTACAAGTCTGGATTGGTAGAACTGACCATGTTCTCATCAGCCAGAGGTCTGATGTACCTGGTAGTGAGTCCTCTGCTCTCTGCCGCAGGTTTTTCCTGGACATAGCGTCCGACTCTCCACCCAGTGACTCGGTCAACCACAGTTTGTCCTTCATCAGTGACGGTAATGTGCTGGCCCTCCACCGCCTGCTGTGGAACAACCAGGAGAGGATTGGCCAGTACCTCTCCAGCAACCGGTCAGTATCTCTCAGTTGTGTGTGGCTGCTTACCAGTGAGAAACACGTTTATTTAAAACATGTATTCATCTTGAAATTCCTCCAGGGACCACAAGGCAGTAGGGAGGCGACCCTTTGACAAGATGGCAACGCTGTTGGCCTACCTGGGACCACCAGAACACAAGCCTGTGGCCGACACTCACTGGTCTAGTCTCAACCTGACCAGTTCCAAATTTGAGGAGTTCATGACCCGGTAAGAGAAAGTGCCTGTCATGTAGTCAGAAGAGATGAGTTTGAAGTTAGTTTATTTATTAAACTCCACCTCAATGACAGCAGTAGGTGAAGCGGTTTAACAAAACAGGAGTCAGAAAGGATGTTTTCTCCTGACGATAGCGGATGTTTAACAAATCCTCCCTTGTTGGAGGGAAGGAAGCTAAGCAGCTGTCACTCGGCTCTGGGAAAGAATAATTTACTATTGACCCACTCCCAGGTGTCCTGGTGTTTGAACCGCCTCTAAATGAAAGTGACTGATCCTGATGATGTTGTTTGTTTGTTTGGTAGGCACCAGGTCCATGAGAAGGAGGAGTTTAAAGCCTTAAAGACACTCAACATTTTCTACCAGGCAGGAACTTCCAAATGTGGCAACCCAGTGTTCTACTACGTGGCTCGCAGGTAGAACCAATTCATAGTCCTACAGCTTTAGTCTGTCTGATGTGGGACGTAGAACATGAACATGACACGGATTAACTCTGATTCAAGGAAGACCTGTTAGAAGAGCTGAAAGGCTTCGTCTGTATCTGTGACGGGTTTGAATCGAAAGCGGTTCTTGTTGAGAACCGCTTTTCACCGTTTCACTTCCTAGGAATCATTTGCCATTTTTGCAAACAATTCCCTTTTCAATTCCAGTTGGCACAAGCTATGTTGTGTAGTTGGCACAAGCTACGTTGTGTAGCTTACGCATTTACTGAGCAGGAAAGGTGACGTCTCAGTGGGACAAACTGTCATGTATACAAAAGCATTTGCACACAAAATACACGAGAACTTGCAGTGAATGTCGTGTTTTTGACCCGCTCCGGACTAGTGAATTTCAGTGCTGCAGCAGTGGTGATCCCCTCCTGTTATAATACTGAAGGTAACTAATCAGCTAACACTGACCATCGTGTTAGCATAATTTGCTTATAAGCATACCTCCACACCAGCAGGTTCTGGCGACTAAAGGCTGACCTGTGATGAGGTTTTTTTCCATTCTGCCGAAGCTACAGTAACACATGAACAAAGCTCCGGTCGGCAGCCACGGTGAAAGGCTCGCTTAAGCACACACAAACGTCTCCAAATAATGAAAGTCACTAAGCTAAATGCAAAGTTTAGAGCAGGACATTGGCCCAGAGGTTCCCTGGTTGAGCATTCCTAACTAGGTCAGATTTCAGTCAGCGTGGATCGTATCTACACTTTTACATTTGCTCAAAATAACAACGTAATTTTCACATTCTTACCATGAAATATTTCACTTTGAAACAATAAAATATGTTCTAACAACATACACATGTATTATACTGAGAATAATATTAAATGTATGATAATTACATTGTACAGCTGTGATAAATATGTCTATGAACATGAAAATTATAAATCGCTAACGTGGCATTGCTCTAATTTTATTTTTCATGGGTAAGCAGCTCTAAACTATGAGTTTAACACCACTTGTCAATAACACACAAGAGCTTACATTTAGCAGAGTTCTTACCTGCGGGGGCCATCGTAGCATCATCATGGTCTAGCCTTGTCGCCTCCTTTACCCTCTCTAGCTCCTGGCTCTCCCATTCCTGTAGGCACTGCTGCACAAACTGCCGTTTGGGGCACCGAACATGCACAGACTCCTAGGGTGAAGTTATTACAGGAGAAAAGACTTGGTACCGCATTGGAGTCAGGACAACAAACACTTAGGCCCAGCACGTAATCGTTGGCCATGAAGTGCCTGCTGCAGACATAAGTACTGCCCCTTTAACAAAATTGGGCCCATCCTCACTCTTGATCGCCCTTACCCACTTATGTCTTATATCGATAGATGTTGGAAATGGAGTTAGGGTTGCTTCAGAGCATAAGAAATACATCCTGGTACGCTGCAATAACTGATGATTTCCCCAACTGGTGATGTAATCCCGGTTAAAGCCCAAGAATTGTGGAAGAAGGTCTGGATTGCCCTGCCCACTCAGCCAGGACATGAGTATTAAATGAGCTGCATGCTGATTGGCTGGTTTGCACCAATGGCTCTACGACTGCCTCAACTTGGAAAGCCTGTGTACAGCTGTCCAGTATCTGGATTACTCAATAAAAAGCTACGGATCTCTCCATTTAAAATCTGGATGTTGCCAGTACGTCCTGAAGCGTTAAGTGTGTTCTCCCATATTCCTTCTTCCTTTCCCTCTCTTCCAACAAGGACATTAGCAATAGTTTGGGCTAGTATTGCTTTGCAGTTAACATAACTACCACTAACATTTACATATAGAAAGTTGGAGTGTGTTGGGACATGAAGGGTAGAGTTCTCAATTTGAACCCGAGTCTGTTAGATCTGGGTTGGGCCAACTAACTAAGATAATTGGTCAGGTTGAGGGGTTCAGATAGCAGAGTGAAGGAAAACTGTTTGTCTGTATTCAATGGCACCAACACACAATGCTGCTGTCCATTGTTCCTTCAACCAATTATCAATTTTTGGGAAGAAAAACATAATGAGTTATATTTTGAAATATATGTGTTTTTTTTATGTGTGTTCATGTTGTAGCTTATCACTAAAACAAGTTCCCAGTCAGTGAGCTGCGTTCAATGACAATAAAAAATCTTCTGATTCTGATCTGATTCTGATAAAAAATGGCGATTGATCCAATAATTGGCTGCTGGTTGGAATCGGCCCTTTAGTCAGCATAAGCAGCTTAAAGTGATGGTGTGTATTTTCCCTGGCGATAGGGGGCAGTACATACTTAAATCATTGCAAACAAGCTGTATTCGAATAAGACCTTATCTAGGGAAGGCCATTAGGGTAAAAAATCCCTGGGATCACAACCTCTAGTTAAATGACGAGCACATCAGACTCCCTTTCATCACTGGCAACAAGTGAAGAGGTAAATGTGTAAAACAAAAATGTTTATGAAAGATGAAAGTTTTGTAACTGATTGTTACAAATGAGTAAATGTGTTTTGTCCTCGCGGGCCCCTGTGGAAGGAATCATTGCGTCTAATATGGTGTCCCCCAGAGACTTGGACTCGCTCCCATGTATTTTAGATCTGATTTTTATGGTTGTATGTTATGAAGCCGCCAATATTTTGCAAAAACTGGGCATCATTTAATTAATTTTCCACTACCTTTAGATGGATGTTTCTAGAGATTAATGGTAAAAACTACACATTGTCTTTTCAATCATATATCAACCAGTCAGTCTCAAAAATTTCATTTGCCAGTCAATAAAATCCAACATTTCTTCCTGTCCCTGAACTCATCCCAGATGAGCAGCAGATATTTCTCTGCAGAAACCTGCTAACAGTTGAACCACACAGCTAACCTCAGGTTGTCTCCACACCTAGATGTGCTGTAGATCAGGCTAACTAGACAGGATCATAAGAACTGTTCTGATTTGTGATGATGGCATCAGCAGGTCACAGAGCAAACTGGTCAATCTGAGATGGAGAGTGTTTTTAGCTGGAATGTATTGTCTTCTCTTTGATTTTGTTTTTCTTTCACTCTGAATCAGCTTTTTCTTTACAGCTGAAAAACCGTTTGTCCTTTATGAAGAAAATGGAAAAGTTTAACCATCGGTTTAATAATATAACTTTTACACACAGTCGTCTTTCTGCTTTTTAGCTTCTTCTTTTCTAACTCTGCGCTCCAGTTTCAGCTTGACGTTTACTTTGTAGAAAATGATGTTGGCCTGAAACGGTGTTTTGGTGCAAAATTCTTTTAATCCCACAAACACAGGCACCTGTCAAAGACAGCCGTTTGTGTAACAGCAGTTCAGTTTTCACCCAAATGTCTGATAATCACTTATTAATTTGCACAAGTGTAAACCAGTTCGACATCCTCCTTCCAACGAAAGCCTCATGCAACTCAGTGCAACAACCACCTTTCATAATTGGAGCAGAAATATTGTTTACCTGCTGGAACTTCAGGTTTTTAAGGTGGACTTAAAAGCCATTAACCCTAACCCTCAGTCATTACCATGGTGATTTACAGTCAGACAGGGCTGGACTCAAGAGCATAGACATGCATCATAATGACTTACTAACCTACCTTACTAACTGGGCTTGGTTACAGATAGAGTCCACTTACAGAGAGAGATTCTCTGTAGAACGGCTCGTTGGTGAGCAAACCGGGTTGACTGGGCATCTGGACATTCCTGTCTGTGTCGGTATGTTTGGTAACGTCAGGGGAACATGGTTACTTTTATTGGCCAAATATTTGAAATAATAGAATGAAAATTAATATTGATACATCAAGAGGAGCCAGTTGTGGTGGCATCTGGTTAGGATGCCTCCTGGACACCTCCTTGGTGAGGTTTTCCACGCACGTCCAACCCAGAGGAGATCCAGAGGAAGACCCAGGACACGTTGGAGGGACTAAGTGGCATTTCTCGGCTGGCCAGGGAACACCTTGGGATTCCCCTGGAGGAGCTGGCCCAAGTGGCTGGGGAGAGGGAGGTCTGGGCCTCTCTTCTCAGGCTGTAACAGATGTAGACCCATCTCCTCTGAAGCCACCTCATTTAAACCATTCAGTGAACCCTGGTATTGGGTAAACTTAAAGCTACAATGGCAAATCTGGAATAATAGCAGGCTTAAAATATTTTTATGCCTCAAAGTGACAATGTGTAGTTTTTACCATTCTGACATAGATTAACATAGCTTAGCTATATATATATATATATATATATATATATATATATATATATATATATATATATATATATATATATATATATATATTGTGGAGATCAAAAACAAATGGAAAAGTTAATGAAGTGGTTCTTTTGGATTTGTCCTAAAATCTCCATTTTTGGAAAATCCGGTTGTCGGCCTCACCGAACCACCTCACTTTTGTGGATCCTCCACTCATTATGCACTTACGCATTTTGCCCATCGACATGAATATACCGGACATATTCTTTCCATAGGCTCCAATATCACGTTTTTGAGGCTAAATGGGAGGTGGCCACCACCGCCATTTTGACCGTGTCACAGGTTCTGTCAAGCCCAGACAATTCCACAAAAGGGAAGAGAGGTGGAGCTGAGGGTGGGGCTGTAAGGCTGGGATCAACTGACGACACCCGGTCGAACTAGCTACAAGCTAACCTGAAGCTAACCCTGGCTAACCCGAAGCTAAAGCAGAGGTGGGAGCTAAGCTAACAGAGGTAGCAACCTAGCTACAACCAGAGTTAACTGTTCACAACACCAGAGCTTCTGAGTCAGAGATACGCCGGGCTGACCGTTGGGGAGAACCGGGTGGAACACAGAGGTCTCCGAGAGCTCCACAAGCCGGCAGCCGCACAGCAGACAAGCGCCGCTGCGATCTGAGATGCACAGAGCTGCCGCTGAGAACCGGGTGGAACGGTTTCCATCCAGAGCTCCACAAGCCGGCAGCCCGCTCATTAATTATACAGAATTTTAGAAGAAGAAGAAGAAGAAAGTATCATTTCTATAGCTCCTCTCAAGATAAAAATCACGAGGCGCTTCACAAAAACAAAAAATAAAAAAATGTAAAAATATAGAAAAGCATTTAGAAAATGTTTAAAAATATATTTTAAATGAGCAAAAATAGGCAATTGCGATTTAAAAGAAAAAATGTTAAGAAAGAGAGAGAGTGAACAGGAAAGAGGGAAACCAGTGGATCCTGAGGAAGGTGGAATAGGTGGGGAGAGCAGAATAAAGAGAGAGAGGTGAGGAAGGTCATACAAAAGCCAGCTTGAACAAGTGAGTCTTCAGCTGCTTTTTAAAGGAGACCACTGAGTCCACTGATCTCAGGCTCAGGGGGAGAGAGGTCCAGAGTCTGGGGGCCACAGCAGCAGATGATCTGTCACCTTTGACCTTTAGCCTGGTGCTGCACAACCAGTAGGCTTTGGTCACTGGACCTCAGGGACCTGCTGGGGGTGTGGGGACTAAGAAGATCACCAATGTAAGATGGTGCTTGTCCATGTAAGGTCCTATAGACCAGAACCAGGATCTTGAAATGAACCCTGAAGTTGACTGGCAGCCAGTGAAGCTGGAGGAGAAGCGGGGTGATGTGGGTGTGTTTGGAGGACTTGGTCAGAAGCCGAGCACAGGCGTTCTGAACCACCTGTAGACGGTTCAGGGAGGTTCTGCTCAGACACGTGAAAAGAGAGTTACAGTAGTCTAAGCGTGAGGAGATGAAGGTGTGGAGAACTGTCTCAAGTTCAGAGCGGGACAGAATGGGACTCAGCTTAGCAACGTTCCTGAGATGGAAGAAGGAAGAGCCAACAAGAGAACTGGCATGAGAATCCAGGGTGAGAGCTGGGTCAAAGGTCATGCCAAGATTCCTGACAGAAGGTTTGGTGTGAGAAGCAAGCTGACCAAGAGAGTCTCTGACTTTGGTAACCAGCTTGTCTGGGGCACAGATGAGGATCTCAGTTTTATCTTCATTCAGCTGAAGAAAGCTCCCACCATCCAGGTTTTGATAGAGTCTAAGCAGGTGTGTAACAGCTGCAGCTTAGACATCTCATGGGGCTTAAAGGAGATGTACACTTGGAGGTCATCTGCATAAAGACGGCAGGAGATTCCTTTGAAGGAGCTCAGGATGTGCTGAAGAGGAAGCAGATAGAGGAGGAAGAGCAGAGGCCCCAGCACAGAACCTTGTGGGACACCATGGGTAAGGGAGGTGGTGGAGGACCTAAACTTGGAGACGGCCACAGAAAAGGAGCGCTCAGAGAGATAAGAGGAGAACCACTCCAGAGCAGATCCTGATAGGCCTACCCAGTCTCTCAGCCTCTCCAGTAGCAGGTGATGGTCAACAGTGTCAAAGGCTGCAGTCAGGTCCAGCAGGACCAGAACAGAACAGTCCCCTGCATCACTGTGGGTCAGAAGGTCATTAGAGACCCTAAGAAGAGCTGTTTCAGTAGAATGAGCTCTACGAAAACCTGACTGGAAGCTATCATAGATGTTATGTTCATCAAGAGCAGCTGTGAGTTGTTTAGCCACAACCTTTTCCAAGATCTTGGAGATGAACAGAAGTTTAGAGATGGGTCTGAAGCTGCTATGGAGAGAGGGGTCGAGACTCGTTTTTTTAAGAAGTGGGTGGATTACAGCGTTCTTAAAGTAAGCAGGGACCTGACCAGAGACCAGAGAAGCATTAATTATAGAGAGCACGCTGGGACCGATGGACTGAAAAGCACTTTTAAACAAAGATGAGGGTAAGATGTGGAGGGGGCATGCAGAGGTCTTCATAGAGTTAACTAGTTTGGTTAACTCAGGCAAAGAAACAGGAGCAAAGCTATCTAGGATGATGGTCCTGGTTGGAGTCGGGAGAGGCGGCGATAAGGCTGAAGGAGAGATGCTAGATCTAACCTTATTGACTTTGTCCACAAAGAAAGACAGAAAGTTCTCACAGTCTGCAACAGAGTGGATGGAGGCTGTAGGAGAGGCAGGAGAGACGATGCTGCTGATGGTGTTAAACAGCACCTTGGGGTTCCCTTTGCTCTGGGACACTGTTTAATACACTTAAACAGAAGAGTGAGAAAAACATTCACCCCCACCCCCCCCCCCCCCCCACCCCCCCCCCCCCCCCCCCCCAGAGATGTCATGAGTGTAAACTAGATCATTTAAACCAAAAACATGTTCTGGTACCAGGCTGTAAACATGTTTATTTCTGCTGGGAAATTGGTGTTTTTAACATGGGAGTCAATGAGGATTTGCTCGCTTCTGACACCAGCCCCTAGTGGATGAGGGTGGAACTGCAATTTATTTCATTTCCGGGTTTGCTTCAGTTTTAGAGCCGCATTGTGGGGGCTTGATTTTGCCACAGAACACCACTGGTGAGAGAGGTTCGCTGTTCAATCAGAGAAGGAGAAACAGCCGGCTGCTACCACTTCAACTTTAGGACAAACTACCAGTGTCCTAAAAAACACACACACACAATCTGAAATCACGGACAACAAAAGACATTTGGACCTAGAAAACGGCGACTGGTGTTTAGCACTGTGTCGTTTCCTTTGACAATGCAGGTTTCCAGTATCAGGTATCATGGTCGAGGGATAATAGCCGACAGGACAAGTGAGAGTTACATCACCGTGCTTGTATTCAAAAGCTGGCTTGTTTTGCAGATTTGTTATGGCAGCTTTAAACCCAGTAAAGCATAGCTGAGGCCATTCACCACATCATCTAAGAACTAACACCTTATACTTGGTGATGCAGCCAGAAAACTATCTATTGATCTGGGCTGTTACCGATACATTCGTGGAGCCTGTGTTTGAAAGCAAACTTGGGTTTTACGAGTTCTGTATTGTATATGGCTAACCTGAGGGGTGATGGTGGTTCGGGGCTTAAGAGTTCACCTTGTGATCACTTGGTTGTGGTTTTAACCCAGGGTCCATTACTTTCTGTCAGTGTGTCTTCAAGCAAGACACTTCACCCATCTTGCCTGCTGGTGGTGGTCAGAGGGACCGGTGGAGCCTGTGCTCGGCAGCCTCGCTCCTATCAGTGTGTCTCAGGGCAGCTGTGGCTACAGTGTAGCTCATCACCTTCAATGTGTGCACGATGGTACAGTAAAGTGCAGAGGTGTGCCGTGACTTAGAAACACTATATAAATGCAACACTTGTTTTTAACCTCCTTTAAATACTATTTAATCACATTTAAATGCTCCAGTATGTAAATTTAAGTTGTTTTTTCTGCACTCTTTTAAGTCCAGTAGAATAATGTGATCATAATCATGTTGTCATCAATAATATGATGTTAGTGCTCCACACCTTCGGCCTTATGAAGGTACTACAATGCACTTTACTTCCGTTTGGTGTTTATGTCTCTACTGAGACCTGGTTCTGGTCAGTCCATTAGTTCAGACGGTTATGAACGCTGCTGCCATGACCACAGCAGGCAGGGTGACCATTTGGATCTTGATGAGAGCTGCGTGGTTTCTGGGTTCTGAGTCAGTAACCCTGGGGGGTTTGGCTGAAGAAGGTGGGTGTGCTGTTGTACTTGTGTGTTGGTAGAAACTGTGGGAACTTGCTGAAGCCCAGACCAACATGACATGATCCCCAGATTCAGATAGACTTCTTTTGTCCGGGTGAATGTTATACATTGCAGGTGACTGACTGTCGTGCCTTTCGGCTCTGCCGTTGACCCACAATAACGGCTCTGTGAACAGAGAGGAGTTTGTTGCTACCCAGTAGGTTTGACCACAGACTGGTTTAG